GACAGATCAAGAACCTCCTCAGACCTTTAGAGACACATGAACCTCCTCAGACCTTTAGAGACAGATCAAGAACCTCCTCAGACCTTTAGAGACACATGAACCTCCTCAGACCTTTAGAGACAGATCAAGAACCTCCTCAGACCTTTAGAGACAGATCAGGTACCTCCTCAGACCTTTAGAGACACATGAACCTCCTCAAATCTTTAGAGACAGATAAAGAACCTCCTCAGACCTTTAGAGACACATGAACCTCCTCAAATCTTTAGAGACAGATAAAGAACCTCCTCAGACCTTTAGAGACACATGAACCTCCTCAAATCTTTAGAGACAGATAAAGAACCTCCTCAGACCTTTGGAGACATTATGGAGTCTTCTTGGAGAATGCTGTTGACCATCTAGTGTCCAACAGCTGCAGCTCAGTCAGACTTGGGTGTCAGTAAAATGAAACTCTCTCACATCACCCACAAACTATTTAACCTTCATCCATCTGGAGGACAGAAGGTGCAGAAGAAGTAGGATGTGCAGCAGGAGATGAACCTGTAGGAGTCYCTCAGACTGGACCAGAGAAACCTTTGTTCCATCATACTTTTACATGAATTAACAAATAAGTTGTTTGTCTCTCCTTCTGTAGGCCCGCCTGGCTCTAAAGGTCCTCCTGGCCCTCCAGGTTCTGGTCATAAAGGGGATAAAGGTGGTAAAGGACCACCAGGTAGTTCAGGACCAATGGGTCTTTCTGGTGACACTGGTCCACAAGGCAGTCCGGTCAGTACCATCCACACACACACAAAGGAGGACTTTGGTTTATTTCCTTTTGTATAAAATCATCAGGCGTGTTTGTTGCTGTTGGCAGGGTCTCTGTGGACAACCAGGTCCTTCTGGACTGAAAGGAACACGAGGACAGTTTGGACTCAGAGGACCAATTGGTAGGAACTCCGAGGCTGAAACACATTTTACTTTACCGGATCTTTATCAATCCTGAAATCTACAGAAAACATTTAAATAAATAAGATTTTAGACAAGTGCCATATTTACGTTTTCAAGCTTTCTGATGACCAAACTGACCAAATAAAACCAGTTGAAGAACAGAAGGAACATATTGTGATGATCTAAAACCTCGTCCTGGTACACCCAGGTGGTTTATCATCTCCTCTGAACCTCATCACCTTCATGAGCCCTAAAGACTGGAGTCCTTTGATGGTTGGATGAAAACCGTTTGTATTTTATACTCCATGAGCCCAGGTGTGACGACCTGATGTCTACTTCTGTTGACCAGTCCAACAGAGTCCAGGTCCAGGTCCAGGAGAAATATTGATTGTTTTTGGACAAAAAGACTTATTCTTGGTAGAAATGATGCCATGGGTTTGACCAAAGACATGTTTAGACACAGTCCGTTTGAACATTGAGTCATTTCAGCTTGAGTTGTTCTCTGACAATATATGTACAGTATAAGTATACATGAGTATATAATAAATGATTGTTACAAAAGCATCTCTCTGTGTCAAATGTTAGAGATGAAAGCAGCAGAGGTCTACTCATTGTTTGGTTCTGACAGAGCTGCTCTCTGTCTCTACCGCAGGTATGAAGGGGGAACCAGGACAGCCTGGTTTAATTGGTCCAAAGGGAACTCAAGGACAATCTGGGAGACAAGGTAACAACCAGAGACTATAAACATATTGTTTACAGGAGCGGCCATGTTGTATTTTTGGAACCAGAGTTTCTCAAACATTAACATTTAAAGCTAAAACTACAGTGAGTCACCAGGGGTCGCTGTTTTTCAGCTTTAACTTCTGGTTCTCTGTCTGATGCTAGTTTTATGTTGATTTTCTCAACAAACACCTGAGTTCTGTTTAACGCCTTATACTGCCCCCTGCAGGAGAGTCAGGGAGGGACGCAATTGCTGATTTGACGTTGGTACGTGGAAACCCTGGTTACGATGGAGACCTGGGGAGCAGAGGACCCCCCGGCCGCCCAGGGCCCTCTGGAAGACCTGGAGCTCAGGGTTAGTCATGATATAATATAGTAAGATACAAATGATATTTTGTTATTAAGAGTAAAATCATTTTTTGTTGTGCTTGGCTCCAGGTCTGAAGGGCGACGYTGGGGAGACGGGTCAGAGAGGAAGTACTGGAGGCAGAGGGCTGAGAGGAGAAAAAGGAAACAAAGGATCAATCGGTCTAAAAGGTAGGAAGTGATTTCTCCTCCCATCTGATTGTTTTTATCTACAATAAAACCAGCAGAGTGTGAGACAAATCCAGTCTGAGCAGAATGAAACCATATCTGAAGAAAACCTTCTAGGTTTTATTAGTTTGGTCTGAGTTGGTTTAAAAACCTGACTTCATTTTTCCTGAACCAACTCTGTCTTTTCAGGTCAGGAAGGACCGCCAGGTCACCCTGGAGGAAAAGGTGCCCGTGGTCAACCGGGTGAGATTCCTGTCCCACCAAAGAAAAGTGGCTTCCTGTTCAGCAGACACAGCCAGAACCGCACCATTCCAAGATGTCCAAATGGATCCTCCTTCATTTACAGCGGCTATTCTCTGCTCTTCATCAACGGCTACAGCCGAGCTCACGGACAGGACCTGGGTATGACTGCACCACRCCTTTCTGTTCGTCTTACTCAGAGGGTACCTGCTTGTAGGTCTGTTAGCAAAATATCTCAAGAACAYTGACTGTGATCCCTACACAGACTGTTGTTAGACGGTGTGTGATYTTGTGCTATCGTTTGAGATCGTTAACAAATTTTCAAAATTTGACCACAGAAGCTAAAACTCCTTTTAACTTTATTTTTTTAAAAGAAGTCTCCAATATGTCCTCTATCTTGAGTGTTGGGAACTCTGAGTGGTGGGAACTTGTTTTTGGGAACTCTAAGTGTTGGGAACTTGTGTGTGGGAACTCTGAGTGTTGGGAACTCTGAGTGTTGGGAACTCTGAGTGTTGGGAACTCTGAGTGTTGGGAACTCTGAGTGTTGGGAACTCTGAGTGGTGGGAACTCTGAGTGGTGGGAACTCTGAGTGTTGGGAACTTGTGTGTGGGAACTCTGAGTGGTGGGAACTTGTGTGTGGGAACTCTGAGTAGTGGGAACTTGTGTGTTGGGAACTCTGAGTGTTGGGAACTTGTGTGTGGGAACTTGCATGGTGGGAACTTGTGTGTGGGAACTCTGAGTGGTGGGAACTCTGAGTGTTGGGAACTTGTGTGTGGGAACTCTGAGTGGTGGGAACTCTGAGTGTTGGGAACTTGTGTGTGAGAACTCTGAGTGGTGGAAACTTGTGTGTGAGAACTCTGAGTGTTGGGAACTTGAGTGTTGGGAACTCTTGAGTGTTGGGAACTTGTGTTGGGAACTCTGAGTGTTGGGAACTTGTGTGTGGGAACTCTGAGTGTTGGGAACTCTGAGTGTTGGGAACTCTGAGTGTTGGGAACTTGTGTGTGGGAACTCTGAGTGTTGGGAACTCTGAGTGTTGGGAACTTGAGTGTTGGGAACTCTGAGTGTTGGGAACTCTGAGTGTTGGAAACTTGTGTGTGGGAACTCTGAGTTTTGGGAACTCTGAGTGTTGGGAACTCTGAGTGGTGGGAACTCTGAGTGTTGGGAACTCTGAGTGGTGGGATCTTGTGTGGGGGAACTCTACCTCTTGGTTTCTCCCTTGTGGTTCCATTTGATGATGTCACTGCTGGTTTGTCCTCTCGGTCTTTCTGCAGGGACGTTGGGTAGCTGTCTGCAGCGTTTCAGCACCTTGCCCTTCCTGATCTGTGAGACTACCGGAGAATGTAAATATGCTGAACGCAACGACTACTCCTATTGGCTGTCCAACATCGAGCCGCTGCCAGAAAACCTGCTGAGCAGTGCTGAGGAGCAGCTGAAGGCTAAAATCAGCCGGTAACTCTGACAGGCTGCAGAGAGCAGGGTTTGGTTTGGGGGTCCTTTCACAGGTTTATGTTCTGACAAAAAGGGGTACGATTGTGAGAGAGACTAATTATTGTGTCAGCAGATGTTTCAGGTGTGTTTCATGTGTTTCAGGTGTTGTGTGTGTGAGGCCAAAGCCAACGTGATTGCTGTCCACAGTCAGAGCAGCTCGACCCCCAGCTGCCCCACCAGGTGGAAAAGTCTTTGGTCTGGATTCTCCTTCGTAATGGTGAGTTGGACTGTTGTAGTTTCAGCCTCTGCTTTAGAAYAACGACCTTTGACCTCGGCTCTGGGTGCTGTTGGTTTGCAGGAAACGGGTTTAGGAGCGGAGGGGTCAGGTCAGCCTTTGGCCTCACCTGGATCCTGTCTGGAAAAGTTCCATAAAAYGCCTTTCATTGAGTGCAATGGAAGTCCAGGGAACTGCAGACCTGACAGTAGCACCTACAGCTACTGGCTGGCTGCTCTGCAACGTCCCAACATGTTCAGGTGAAACACACACCTTCAACAATGTGCACAACACACACAGGTACACACGCCTGTCACTGGTATCTTGCTTCTGTATGGGCCACTGACCAGGAGACCTTCTGTAGTGAGAGTAGGGAGCAGGTGGAAGGGAGCCTGGAGAGGTGGAGGTATGTTTAGAACTCACAGCTCCTGTGGCTTTAATTTGGTTACAAACTGGACAGCTAAGATGAGCCAGAACAAAAACAAACATTTAAAAATGGTTACAAAGAACCTTCTTCTGGGAGCAACAAGTTACTGAGACAAAGTTTAAATCTTTACACACATATAAAGCTAACATTTAACATTTTTCAYTTCCATTTCTTTGTATGTTCAGATTGTATTCTGCTGGACAAGCAGCAGGTGACAGCATCGTCCTCTTAAGCCTCAGCTCAGAACAGGTGAGCTTCACCTGCTGCTGGTTCTCACTGCTCGCTGTTGTTTTACAGGAGACCAAGAGGCTGGTTCAATAGCGGGGACTCACAGGAAATAACTGACAAAATCAGCCGCTGTCGAGTCTGCATGAAGCAGATCTGAACCCCAGGACCAGCYTCAGCCTCTGACCCAACACTGGGTCTCAACCAGAGGCTCGGATCTGATGGACCTAAAGAGTCAGGACCTGATCCATGAGGTCCGAGGTCTGTCCCAGCTGCTGAAGATGAAGCCAGGATGTGTTCGACTGATCTGTTTGTTAGAGAGATGCATCCTGGGAGTTGTAGTTCATCTCATGTCCATAGCTTGGTTTAGTAAAGGCTAGTCTCTGACTGGGCTGCCACTGCTGGAGAATCATCTACAGAACATCTTGAGAGGCTGCAGAGCTTCAGTTCCTCTCAGAAGCTCACCTCTCTGAATTTAGAACACGTTTAAAAAAAGGTGCAACAAATGGACAGAAAGGTCACAGGTGTCTCCAGCCCTTCTCACTTTAGTTTCTGTCATTCTGGAGCTTCAGTTCTGTCTTCTGTCTGCTGCTGGAGGCTGCAGCCCCGAGTGTCCAGTTATGGCATGGTGTGAGGACCAAAATTAAGACTATTGCACACCCAGCGGGTTCTACATCCTTKTAGCAGGAGGATATATCTATTCTTAAGCAGCTATTGAWGTGATTAATGATAGACCACCACCGCTAACTGAGAGGCCGGCGCTGGCAAACGAGAAGGAGACTATTCATTTGTGTTAGCATCAGAGAGGCTAGCTACTAACATGGATAAGTTGGCATTAGCATCGAAGTGGCTAGCGACTAGCATTGATACGCTGGGGTTAGCATTGGAGAGGCTATCAATAGCTGGCTTAGATATAGCCTTCTGCTGCAAGGATGTAGCAACTGCTGGTTGTGCAATAGTCTTTATTTGGTTCTCATACCGTGGCATTTCCCACAGTTCAAAACTCCCATCTTCTTTTTAAAGAGTAATTAAACACCAAATCAACTTGTTTTGCAGATAAACTGTCAAAGTTGGTCTTTAAGGATATTTTATTTATATTTATGTACAAATGTTAACATTTTTGTGTACATTTGTTTAATTCTGCAATATTTSGTCTAAAACTCTCTCAGTGCTGCCCTCTATGGGTTGAACGGTGTCTACTACAGTTGAATTTTCCTATAGGTTAAAACAGTACATGCTTACATCACAGCTCACAGTGCATTGTGGGACATGTAGTTCTGAGCTGGGATAAAATGAGCTTTATTTGATTTATATTATCTTTCCTAGCAGTGGATATATTTAGAACATAAATGTGTTTTTCTGTTCAGTCTGAATCAATAAAATCTTTTTAAAGTTGAACAAAGTTCTGAGTTTGTCACAGAAAAATGTTTTAATCTTCTGTCAGCTGGACGGGAACAAAAGAACTAAGAAATAAATGAAGTCTGATTCAGAATCAGAACCAGAGTTACCTCAATGAACCGAATCAACAGAACCAAAACTACATTTGGTTTATCTGAATCCTGTTTATGGGTTTATGGACCTGAGTTTAATGGTTCCTTTTTGAAATGTCTGTCCGTCCATTTTCTTCCTCTTATCCAGGGTCAGGTCTCGGGGGCAGCAGCCTCAGCAGAGACCCAGAC